CTTAAGAAGTTAAACATAATTTACCATATGGCCCAGCAATTCCATTCTCAGGTATTTACCCAAGAGAAATGCAAACATATTTCCACACAAAGATTTACATGCGAATGTTCATAGCAACATTATTCATACCAAAAAACTGGAAACCTGTGGATGAAAAGGGGGTACTATGGAAAGTAACAAACCCAAGTTTCCAGTAACTGATAAATGAATAAATAAAATATGGTACAGCTACACAATTGATATCACTCAGCAGTAAAAAAGGAATGAAGTACTGATACATGCTACAATGTGGATGAACCTTGATGACATTATAGTAAGTCAAAGAAGCCAGAAGCAAAAGACTATATTGTATGATTTCATTTACAGGAACTCTCCAGCAAGGCAAATCCATGGAGACACAAAGTAAATTAGCGGTTACCAGGGGTGTGGAAGGGGGTCGAGACTGCGAACAGGTAAGTAATTTCTTTATGGGATGATGAAAATGTTCTGGAATTAGTGGTGATGATTGTACGACCTTGAATATACCAAAAACCACTGAACTGTACACTACAGAAGGGTGAATTCTGTTATGTGAATTATAACTTAATTTTTTTAATTAAGTAACTAAAAAAAAAAAACAGCAGAATTTAATTCTTCTAGTAACTCAGTATGTGACCTTGAGCAAATCACTTCACTTTGCCATTTATTTCTCCATCTGTGCGAACAGTTCAGCTCCTTAAAGCCTTCTTGAGGCCTGATATCTGGAATAAACTTAAAAAGTTGAATGAAAGACTATCTAATCAGATATAAATAAACATACAGCTTAAGGGAGAAAAGCTGACATTATAACTGACTGAAAGGAGAGCTTCTACTTCATAAAGAATAAGCCTTTCTCACAGTTCTCAATATAAAATAATTTACTCGTTATCATTCCTTAAGAGTTTGCGTCAGGAAGCATAAGTACTTTTCATGTATCATCTCATTTTCACAGCACTCTAAGGTAAGCAGAAGTTTTAGAAATAAGAAACAGACTATGAGAGCTTAAATGACTTGACAGAGTAAATACTCAAGCTGGGCTTCAAACTCAGATCTATGTAACTTTAAACACCAATCACTCTGCACCAAGGTACAAGAAGAAGAACAATAGACTAAAAATCTGAAGTCAGGGTTTGAATCTTGTTTCCACCACTTAATGATTCAGTAATTTTAGGCAAGTCAATGGACACTTGAGTTTTCTCATTAACAGAAAATCTTAACCTTTGTCCTAATTTACCTCAGAAAATACAAAAAGGCGCTAATATATACATGTCAGTTAAAGTACTGTAGAAATGTTAAGAGATAAGTGTAGAAATGTGGTATTATTGATAAACCAAAAACATGCTGAAAAATGGTTTTAATAATCTATAGTCTGTCGAATGGTATTAGAATGTACTAAAGCAGTGATTTTCAAAACACTCCTCTCAAGCACATCAGGTGTTCTACAGACTGAACATGTGACCTCCCAAAATTCATGTTAAATCCTAACCTCCAATGTAATAGTATTTAGAGTTGGAGCCTTTGGGAGGTGATGAGTCATGAGGGCTATACCCTCATCAATAAGATTAGTACCTTTATAAAAAAGACCCCACTGAGCTCCCCTCCCCCTTCTGCCATGTGAGAGGACTGCCTTCTATAAACCAGAAAAGGGTCCTCACTAGACACAAAATCTGCCAGTGCCTTGATCTTGGACTTCCCAGCCTCCAGAACTGTGAGAAACTAATTTCTGTTGTTTACGAACTACCTAATCTCTGGTATTTTTTTATGGCAACCCTAATGGACTAAGTTACCAGTTACAAGTAGGAAAACCAAATCAGAGTAGCTCCAAAATGCTTTAATAAAAAAGTTAAAAACCACTGTTTTTGGCATCATCTATTGACATCTATCAAGGAACAATGAAACAGGGATTTCAGGCCTTACCGAAGAAAAAGTATGGTGAAAAGGAATGGATTCTAGAGACAAATTCTAGATTGAATCTAGTTCTGCTGCATGCTAGTTGTGTGGCCTTTAATCTCAGAGTCTGAATTTGCGAGGAAATATCTACCTTGTGAGGTTGTAGGCAGATTAAATAAAATACATAAAGCTACTACTACAATGCCTGGCACACAGTACTTCCTCAGAAAAAAAAGTAATTGCTAGTATTACATTGTCCAGTAATACTCTGGAATTACTAAATCCAACTTGAAAAATTAAATTATAGAAACTCAGGAAAAATTATAAACTCAAAACCACCCTGAATATGCGAATACATCTAAATAAGATTTAGTGAAATTGAAGGCAAGAAATTATGAAAAATAGTTAAAAGAGTTAAGTCATATAAGAGACTGTCAAAGGAACAGGCCCAACCTGACAGTAAGAGATGGGAGAGGAGGAAAAGATGGTAAGGTAAGAAAAAAGCACGTGAGTATGAGACATAAAGAAGGATGCTTTGAAATTGGAGGAAGTAAGACTTCATAAATCCGGACTGAGCAAAAAGAAAGACTGAATCCTAGAGTATTTGCAAAGGAATAAGACACAAAGCTCAAATTAAGTATGCTCAGGTAAACAACTATAAATCCAAAAAGACACAGTGGGTCTCAGAGTCAAGAGACCCATGTTCTAGTCCTTAGAGCCCTACCACCAAGACTCTAGGGCACCTCAGTATGAGGAAGATTTGAGTTTCAGTTTTGTCATTTATTAGGAGAAAATTCTGTCCCCTGCCTCTTAGTTTAGTTTACAGGATACAGAATTTTCTGAGTCTCAGTTCCTTCAACTATACAGTGAAGTGGTAAGATGAGATCATTGCAAAGCTCTCTTCCAGCTTTATGTTTCTACGAGAGAGTCTGTTATTATCACTAACATTAGACTTAGATGAGGCCTGCCTATATTCCAATAAGGAAGTAGAAAAGAAAAATATAGGAAAAGAAGCCACTTGAGGACCACATAAAATTTGCCAACATATGCTGTTCTCCTCACAATACTATAAATCATCTTCCTAAATAACTTTATTTTCCAGGATAAGCAGTTAACCTAAATTAAGAAGACAAAAGCATCTACTTTAAAGAGGATAAGTTACTAACAATTATGTAATCTAATCAGCAGATTTTCCCTTAATTTTCGCTTAGTATTTTTCTTCATTTCTTAACTTGAGAATTTGTTTTGACAAAGTATAAAGCTGAGCTCTAATTAAACTTATCTAAAGCATGTACAATTATTAAAAAACTAATATTTTTGTACATTTTTACTGAAGAGTGCTGGTATACTAAAAGATCAAATCTTAGATTAAGATAGGCAGCAACTAAGATACATATCAACAATAAGTATTACATTAACTTTACACTCCAGGTTAATTTTCCCAAATAATCTGTTATGGGTCAGTTTCCAGATCCTCATTATTCATGTTACAGTCCTACCTTTCTGTCTTCCAAAGGCAAAACAATCTTTATCTTACCTTATATGTAGCCTTCTATCACCTCTTTCTACTGTGTGTCCATCAACCTATCTTCTCCTGTCAAGCATTTTTCCCATTTTTCTGCTGTGAATCATAATCAGGTCTCCACTTCAATTCTTAGTTTCCTTCCTGGTTTTTTTCAACCATTCTCACTACCTCCTACCCCAGTTTTTTAATTTTTAGGACTCTGCTTTCTCTTCATTCCTAGAACCTACTTTCACAGTACTACATCTCCTACATTCATCTCCTTTTTCATTCGTTTTTGTACATAATACTTCTTCCAAACCTAAGGTTTCTCTTCTCTAGTCCTTACTCCAAGAATATCTACCAGCCCATCTCTAGACTCCCAAACACATTCTTGACTACCTAATACCCAAGTGTTCTTCCTGTCCCTTTTCTCTACAGTTACTGGTTTCCAGAATCCTGTCCAATACTACAAATACCCTTCAAAACCAACGGCCTATTCAATTCTCTCTGCTTTCCAGCAATTACCTCGCCCATGTTCAACTCATTATGCTCTCTCCTACATTGAGATCCCTAATCTGGCACAAGCCATCCAACAACCTACAGTTCCAAAAGTCGATATCTTCAACACAGCCTTTCTTTCTATCTCTTCAACACCACATGGTTCCTCTGAAACATTTTAAGTGGCTACTATCAGTCCTTCGTTAATTCTGAGTCTTGTCAAACCAGTACATAGCTTCCATCAGACCTATTTGCCCAGCAAAAATCAATTGCCCAAATCTTCCTCCTTATGCTTCCCAGACAGACATTACCTCTGCAGCACTTCCAGTCACTAAACCCTATTCCTAGTCATTTCTCGATTTCTAAAGGCCATGGTCACTCTCTAAGATCCTCAGTCCTCATCACTCCTCTCTTCACGCCCTATCCTCATTTCTCATCACATTTCCTAGTATCCTTAACGGTCTTGGCTATGTTCTCCATCTTTCTTTACGGCTGTTCCCCAAGCTTTCTCAGTTTTTCCTAGTCACCCCCTAACACCCTGAATGTACCTCTTACCCCTTTAGGAGCTCTCTCTAGAACCTTCTGCTCCCCAGGTCACACTTTTTCTTTCTCCAACCCGGCCTCAGGTGTCCTCTAGTTTCCTCAGCTTTTCTAATATTTAGTTCTCATAGTCTTCTTACTCCTCGCAAATTTTTCCTTAGTTGTTGCCCCTAAATCCCCTCAACTTTTCACTCAGTCATCTTCATTACCCCCCCCACACCTTTATCACCGCTCTACTCCCTCTCTTCAAACCTTTTCCATCCCTTCTTCTGGAGGTGCTTCTTACATGTCTTAAATTACCTTCTCGGCTTCCTCAATCTTTGCTTTATTCCCTCTCCCTTCAATACTATTTGTCCTCCAATTTCCATCGACTTGGCGCCTCCCCTAGTGCCCAAATCTGCCTTCTACTCCATCTAAACGTCTCCAGGCCGCCACCAACATTCTCCCCTATCCTTAAGCCTCCCTTTCCGTGCAGCATTAAACGCCCAGAGGCACGATTCTCCAATGGCCTGGGCCTGGCCTCTAGGGAGAAGGGGTACGGGTCACGTACCCCATTCGCATCTTGGCTCCGCTCTGACTGCCCCCGCTGCCGGGTAGAGGGGGGCGAGAGGGCAGGCGGCCGAGTTGCATGCTCTTCTCGAGGGCCGACATGAAGGGGAGGCCGCAGGTAGTCAAACAGGAGCCGAAGCTTCGTCCCACGCTAAGTGCGGCCCAACAGATCACAGCTCGCTCCCCCACGGACGCCCAGTCGCTTTTGGACAGCACCCAGCCACCGGCAGCACCGCCTACCGCCCACCGGCTCCGTAAACTCCACCCCCTCTTCTCAGGCGCTTCCACCGGAAGTGCGCAACAGCGCTCCACAAAGAAAGCTGGGTAACGAAGTCTGAGGAGCCTTCAGACCCCAAGCGGGAAATCTTAACGACTCTCGCCGGAAAGAGAAGCGCTCCTAAGGCAATGCACCCTGGGCAATGAAGTCCTCAAAGGGCATATCCCTTTGCGCTTGCGCAGCTAGAAGAGACAGCGTCCAACCCCGCAGAGGTAGGGTAGCAAAGCATCCTGGGTGTTGTAGTCTATTGGCGGTAAGGAGTCTTGGCGCCTTCTCTTCTCTCAGACTCCCAGAGACTGTTAGAGGAAAATCAGCTTCTTCCTGCCTCCCAGGCTACCCAGCGGCGCCGGTTGCCGAGAAACGCAGGCGCGGTGGGAAGGGATGGCGGGAGGCTACGGCTTAGATGCTGGGGCCGGAGTTGAGTTGGTGAAGAAGAGCTCCTCCTCGTCATGAAACAACGAAAAGGCCAAGGGCCTGGGGGCGGTCGTGGCCGCAAGAAAAGAGGTAACCTGAGCGACCAGAGTTTGAAAAAGCGTAATAGGGCGGAGTCTGGGGAGCAGAGTGTTAGGAATTCTAGGGAGACCTCCACACGCTCCTGTAAAAACAAACAAAAAAAAATGAAAAGGGACAGAGGAAGGAGAATAACCAGGGAATGAGAAGGTTAAAAGAGAGGGCAATTGGCCATCCAACGAATGGAATGGAAATAGGTCTGGCGTGGGGGGCAAACTGGACGAATAAATGGAGAGAGGTGAAGGCCAAAAGGGTACAAGGAGGATGCTTCTAGAGGAAGGGAACAAAAAAATTCTAGAAAAATTTTTTAACTTTTTGGAAATTGAGATATAATTGACATATAACATTGTTAGTTTCAGGTGTACAACATAATGATTGGATATTTGTATATATTGTGAAATGATCATAAGTCTAGTTAGCATCCATCACCATACATAGTTAAATGAATTTTTTTTCTTGTGATGAGAACTTTTAAGATCTACTCTTTTAGCAACTTTCAAATACACTATAGACTACTACTAACTGTAGTTATCGTGGTGTACATTACATCCCCATGGCTTAGGAGCGTTTTTGATAACAGTTAAACGTGTGTGTGTGGGGGGGGGGACTGGACGCGGAGGGGTATACCTTTAGTGGCCCATATAGGGCTGCAAGATACATAAGTTGGAGAGAGAAGTATGTCAGGAATCCTAATAGGCAAGAGTCACACTTTGTACATTAATCCCCAAGAACTAGCATGAAGCAGAACTCAGTAAATGTTAGTTGAATGAGTGAAGCATGAAACAGTCATGAAACATGAAGGGCTACAGGTGAGAGTTGGGAAAGATAGCTGTGGAGGACAGAGGAAGAAAGAGTGCGGAGTGACATGGTGTGGTTGGTAGGGTTGGAGTGGCAATAAGGGCATGAGGATCTCTGAAGGATTTGAGATGATGAAAGAGAGTGTAGCAAGCGGATCTTATCAGATGAGTATGCTCCAGGCGAAACAAGCTCACCAAGAGAGCAGGGAAATGTTAGCTGCAGGAGGAATAGTCACCCTAGGAACCCAAGGCAGATCAGGAAACTGGAAATTGAATCTCTGCAGCGCTACCTCAAAAAGCAAAACAAAACGAACAGACAAAACCCATCATGTTACTGCCTTTTTTTTACATTATATGAAAAGAGGTATAGTGATGGCCATTAGGTTGAGGACTGAAGCTGCAGTCTGGGAATGAATTTTATTGGGTTGTCGGAAAAGTCATGACATATTTTTTCTATGTTTTTCTTTGCAAAAATGTGTCATGACTTTTCCGACAACCCGCTAAGCTGTTTAAAGTTAATTACCAGCAAGTTTTGAGGCAGTGTCATTCCTGCTAGGAATGATGGGAGGATATGAGAAACATAGAAGTGGTTAATGCAGTGCTCCCCTATGTCAAACCAGTCAAGCACATTTGGTTAATAGGAGGAAAGTCAAACTAGAAATAACAAGAATGCCCTACTCACTATACCATATACATATGCAGTAATGCTCATGTATACACCTGTATGTAATTTTTATATTGAAGCTAGCTATCCATAAAGGTTATAGTGGGTCTTTTCTCCAATCTAGAGAGCACAGAGAGTGTATATTTTCTTCTTGTGAGGCCTGACCACTCCCCAAAGGAAAAGTCAGAGGAATAGAAATGTATGTGTAATATACTCGTAAGAATGTTTTCTTAAATCTCTCAGCCTTGGTTAGAAGATACATTAAAGGAAAGTTTTATAGAAAGACATGATTAATTGCCTCATTTATATTTTATTATCTGTCTGAAAGCCAATAAATATTATGAACCCAGCATTGTTCTGTAAATAGTGCAGAATCTGAAGATGATAATCTCTGTCCTAATTGACTGTGTGATGTTAGCAGCAAAGAAAAGATAGACAATTTAAGGTGGTCTTTACTGCAATGCTGAGTTGTATGGTATAGACGTAATCATTTGAGAGTTGAGTAAAGGGAGTTCTAAATTTAGTGATGGTTTTAAAGTAAGAGAGTTAGGTAAAGATAACATCTTAAGGACTGTGGACTTTGCAATAATCAGAACAGCAGTACTTGGAAGAAAAACTTCAACTACTTCAGAGATTTTAAAAACCTGTCATTGTATTTGTATTTTTCAAGTGGTATCTTTCAATTAAGGAGTTTATATTAGCGTGTCTTAAGTTGTTATGTACTTGAAATAACTGGAATCAAATCCTATATACTAAGTATTTTTATCAGGGTGGTTAAGTGATCATATAGGTTATTCTTTGGTTTACTAGTTACTTCTCATGTATTAGAATAGGTAGAATAAGCCTGCTCTGTAGATACTAATGTGTTTTTGTGTGCTTTCATTAAAAAAACATGATATGTTTTCTATGTTTTGTCTACATTTTTACTTGGTGTTCTTGGATTCCTCCCCAGGTTTGAGTGACATTCCTCCATCTACAAGCCTGCCACCTCTGGTTGAAGGTCAGCTACGCTGCTTTCTGAAACTTACTGTTAGTAAAGTCATATGGAAGATTGCAAAGCCTCCCTCTTGTGTACTTGTCCGAGTGAGATGGTGGGGAGAAACATCAGATGGAACCCTCTTTTGTCCCAGGGACACATTGCAGACTGAACCAAAAGCTGTGAGAACAACTACACGTTATGCTATTCGCTGTGGTCCAAAGCAATTTACCTCTTATCTAACAGGTATGTTTTTGTTTTATCATCTCACTGCAGGCCTCATAAGCATGTGGTTATGTTGTTAGCATAGGAACTGTTGTGTATGTAGTGTCTGTGACATTGTTAATTATTGGGAGTCAAAGAGGTTTTATAATAGCCATCATTTATTGAGAGTATACTATGTACTAGCAGTTGATACATATTGTTTCTAATCCTTAATAACCCTGCAAGATAGGTGTTTTCTGTGTTTTATAGATAATAAAACAGGTTCAGAGAGATGGAATGAATATTCTCTAAGGTTACACAGCTGATAAGTGGCAAAACTAGGATTTGAACCCACTTCTGTCTGAAACCAGAACTTGTACTTTTCACCACATCGTGCTTAAGGAATAACTTTAGTCTCTGCTCTGGGACTTACATTATGCTCAAGGAAAGAGGATATAGATATAAAACTCACTACTAGTACAAGATAATACATGCTAGATGCCAAATGAATGGTTTAGTGAGTTAGTACTACAGGTTTTTGAAGAAGGGAAGGATTGGTCTACAGCAGGGGTGTCAAACTCAATTAAAACATGGGCCATTTGGTGCAATAGGCAAGATTCACGCGGGCCACATCACATTTACAAATTTTGTTAAATTTATATTCTGAAGTGAGGATTCGGGAATATGGATAGGATAATTAAAACACTATATAATTGCTTTTATTTAAATATTTATTTTCTTTAATGTATTTATAAAACTAAAATTATTCTTTTTTACCCGAGTGCTCTTTTTAACCTTTTTGCTATTGGGATCTGTTTACATTACATGACACTGAGAGTGGCAGACATATCGCTTCCAAACGTCACAGGAACTGAGTCAGCACGTTTATACACGCCCACAGGCCCCCAGGAAAGGCACTGGGCCACATGTATACTCGTCTTCAGTAGTTAAAGGGTTAATGAAGGAATTGTGTATAGGTATTGCCTCGATCTCCCCTAAGCGCTATTTTCTTCATAACAATTTTTTCTATTTTTATTTTATTTCAGAGCATCGCGGTCACAAAAAATTGCCTCGAGGGCCGCATGCGGCCCGCGGGCCACCAGTTTGACACCCCTGGTCTACAGGGACCCAGGAGTCAAAATTTATTCATTTCTGTTCAAGGAAAGCATTCTAAATGTACTGTTATTTCTCTACTCAGGTCAAGCTTTCACATAAACATATTTTGGATGGTGGAGTTATTTATCAAATCAATATTGTTCAAGTCAGTAAAAATTAAGCATTTATCACATAAACATTGTTGGGCTAAGAATACTGGAGAGTCAAGGTGAATTAAAGATTAACCTGTCCTTATGAAGCTTATAGTCTATCAAGAAAAAAATTTTGAAGACATCAAAATGTAAAGAACTAAAACTTCAGTCATTCAAAAAATATATATTGAACATTTAGCCACTGTAGGAATTGCAAATATGAATGAAAAAAATCATAATGGTGTCTAATTTTAACTAAATTCACACAGAAGTTTAGTTATAATAGTGGGTAGAAAGTGATAAGTGCTATTAAAAGCTACCCATAGGCACTCTGGGTACTATAAACCTAAAACTTAAATCCTCAGGTGGTATTTTTATATAATTTAACAAACAAAGAGTGATTAGACTTTTTTTTTTTTAATTGGGGAATTGGGGAGGAGGACCAGCCAAGTTGTTGTTCTTCAATCTTAGTTGTGGAGGGCGCCAGTCGCCATCTGGCTGTCCGTCAGCAGCTCATGGCCTCTAAGCTCAAGGTGCTGTGTACAGTCTTAGTTGCGGGTGGGTGTAGCCACCATTCCATGGGGGAGTCCAACCAGCAGCCTTGTTAAGAGCGCACGCTCTATCCACTGAGCCATACAGGCAGCAGCTCAGCTCAAGGTGCTGAGCTCAGGCTTAGTTGCCAGTTGGGCATAGCCATCATCTCATGTGGGAGTCAAACCGGCAGCCTTGTTGTTAAGAGCACACACTCTATCCACTGAGCCATCCGGGAGGCAGCTCAGCTCAAGTTACCGAGTTCAGTCTTAGCTACGCCCACCATCGAACAGGCAGTCTTGTTAGGAGCATGCGCTCTCACCAGCTGAGCCATCCTGCCACCTGTTGGCAGCTCAGTGACAACTCAGCTTAGGCGCAGTGTCACTGGCCCATGTGGGAATCGAACCAGCAGCCCTGTTGCTCAGAGGCTGCTCTCTTAAGCTAATTCTTAATCAACTGAGCTACTTGGCTGGCCCTAGAAATTTTTCAATAAGAGAGAAGATACCTATTAATATGATAATTAACAGGTCAGACATTTATTCAAGCATCCTGTGGTAAAAGAAAGAATGCATTACACTTGGCATCTGAACTTTAGGTTGGTGTTATCAGTTGTGGAATTTTGGGAAAGTCCCTTCCCATTTCTGTTGCCCCTTTGTCCTCATCTGTAAAATGGGACCAAATAGTTGCCCTTTCACCTTGCTTTTTTATGAAGAAGCAGACTGGTTAAATGAGAAGAGCATGGGTTTTGAAGTCAAACAATCTTGAATTTGAACTCTGGCTTCAGAATTGGATAGCTTTATGATGCTGGAAGATTCCTTAAGATCTTGGGGCCTAAGTTTCTATTAGTTAAATGAGGATAATAGCAGTTACCTGGTAGGAATTATTGTGAAGACTAAATGAAAACAATTTTGTAAAGTGATCGGTCCAGTACCTAGCACATTGTAGGTGTGAGTTTTATAAAAATATAAAGTCTTGGGTACTGTGGGGGTATCCAGAGATCTTAAATGTAGTCTCTGATCAAAAGGAACTTAAAGATTTGTTGAAAAAAAACAATACTGACATATATGAAACAGTAGTGAGCGATGCCAAACAGTATGTAATTAAATGGCTGATTAGTTGGTACATATGAATATGCCAGGAAATTAACAAGGGCTAAGCTTATCTTAAGTTAGTAGGAAACCAGAATCCTACTTCTGTTCTGCACTAACTTGCTGTTTGACTTTTGAACAATCCATTTCATCTTCCTGGGCCTGAATTTTCCCATTGGTAAATTGAGGGCGATAGCCTCCAAATGGGCCAGTACTCAAAGTTCATGATTCTAGTTAGGCAAGAAGCCTGGGAGAAGGTTGCATTTGAATAGGAGACAGATGAGGTGAACCTTGCGAGTGGTGGCCCTGCTGTGGACATGAGTATGATATGTTTATTAGAAAATGAAGACAAAAGATCAAACATTAGTTCACATGAGTTTATTCTCTAACTGAAAACTTGGAAAAAGTTTAACTATTACTTAAGATATGTGGTATTTGTTTTATTATACATTTATGTACTCTTTCATATGTGAAGTACAGATAACTCATTTAAGAGAAAATAAAATGTGTAAAGTAAGCTAATGAATATATTGTTACATGTTAGCATAAAACATGACTAGGTCCAGGTTGGAAAGAGAGAGGCAGTAAAACAGAGATTGTATGAATTCCTCAGATAAAAATAATATCAAGGAACAAGCAAAAATGTATAGCATTTTACAGTTCATAAAATGCTTTCAAGGCCATCATCCTATTTGATTTTTAAAATGACTGTGTGAAGTAAGTAGGGTGGTTTGTTTTATTCATTTCTTTGTATCTATTTCATCTTATTCTGAACAGAAGTTAGGGTAATTACAAAAACATGGTAAGTACTCCGATTTTTTTTTTATTAGTGAGAAAATTTTTACATTTTAAATCTTTAAGATCTTTTGCGTTAAGGAGAGTGAAAATACAGTAGGAAGAATAAGAGGAAGCCACTGAAGTGCTAGAATGCATGCTTTGAGGCCCTGTACATTTGCAGTTGGTGTTTAGCCTTTTCTAGGTGATGAATTTGAGTTTGAATTAAAAGTGACTTACCCAAGGCCACCCTTACACCAACCCTAATTTCAAGGATGCCTCTGCTATAGTATCCTGCCTCAGGAGATAGAGGGATTATAGGATTCTGAGGTGTGCCTCATACTCTCTTCTGACATCTTTCTTCCCTTATCCTTTATCTAGTCACTGAAAATAGCAGCCATGAAAATGTTTGGAGCTTGGGAAGGTTAGAGGAGAAACTGAGAAAAGTTTGGTACTTCTTTGAGCTTCACCACTTGATTTTTGCTTCTCTTTTATCAAATAGGATTCAATTAGTAGGAATATGAAAGACAGTGGAGGTGAAAAGTATGTTGGACAATAGGGATTCTAATTCCACAGCAAAAGTGAAGGATAGAGGTCAGAAGCCTATTAAGAATTAAGTTTTTCCCCCTAGAAGTAATGAATAATGAAGCAGCATGGTGTAGTGTACTTTATAGTAGACTGAACTGGGTGTCAGCCCAGTTTTGTCACTTTAAAGCTGGGTGAACTTAGGAGTGTTACGTGACCTCTCTGAGCCTCAATCCTCAAATGGGGACAGAAATAACTGTATCATAGAGTTGTTAAGAAAATTAATAGATATGGAAGAGCCTGGCTATTAGTAAATAACCAATAAATGTTGGTACACTTATTCTGCATATGCACATCATTTTATAGTCTACAAAGCACTTTTACATTTATTAGCTCATATGAGTTTCAGATTATTTCCATGAGTAGGTACGACAGGGACTGTGATAAGTAATTTGCCTGAAGTCCTATAACAACCATTGAGCAACTGCCTTGTGAGAGGACACTGCTAGGTGTTTTACTTGCACTACCTCCATTCCTCTCACAGCCATGATGTAGGCATTATGGTGCCTGTTTAACAGACAAGTGTAGCTTGTGAGGTAGCTTGTGAATATTGGAGCTATGACACAATTACCTGTCTTCTACTTATACGTCCTATGCTCTTTTCACTGCAGTATTGAACAAATGGTGAAAATGAACCATTTTCTCAGCTTTAGTTAGAAAATAATTCAGAAGTTACACTGCCCTGAAATAATTTCAGATTTCTATGCATGCATTAAATTTCTGCTGCTGTAAATTATGGCCATGAAGGTGTTAAGTCTAAGTGACTAATTAAAGAATAGAGTTAAGGAGTTTATTTTCATTCTTCTTGGTTCCAAGTACTCTCAGTATTTCAATGCTCCAGATATAATCAAGAAGTAAGCAATTAGATACTCCTGGGAGGCAGGGACCAACCATTTCATCTGTATAAGAGAAGCCCTTTGTCCAATCCAAAATTAGAAATGGTGAGAATAAAAGAACTGAGATTGTTGCCTTTATATTTCAAAAGCAAAGCCTGAGTTCTTGCCAAATATGTTTAAAAAAACAAACCTGTTTTAAAGGTATTTTCCTTATCAAATACTTGATATGCTAAATATTTTTATTCAATGTAATTTTTTTCTCCATGTGAGATATTTGTCATTTTTCTCTAAAACTTTATTGTTCATATGATTTTGAGTTCATCTCTCTCTTCCCCTCACCCCAAATGATATGGTAAGTGCATGGTTTATTTGTAAATAAAATAAAATTTTTATGTAAAAAAGTTTTCTAATGTATACTCCTCTGTCCAGTTCCAAAAATAAATAAATGAATAATATCTGCATATCCTGTAATTGTTTCTGATTAGATATGGCTGTGCTGGTGCTGGAAGTAATCACCAAACTTGATCACCTTCCAATTGGTAGAGTTCAAATCAGTGGATTAGCCAAGCTTTCTCCAATTTATCACATCAATGGATTTTTTACCATTATTTCACCAACATCTAAGAAACTTGGAGAACTCCAGGTAAAAAAAGTTTTAATCTTTGCTGCATAGAATAAAACTTTTAGGGCACAAGTAGTTGAGTTTGTTTGTAGAATGGATAGGTACATGACTCCCATATACCATGCTCATTCCCACTTCATACTTTTGTTCGTGTTTTCACCGAAAGACTGTAACACACCTTTGTTTCCCACTTACCCAAATCCTCTTAGTGCTTTACTGCCCATCTCAAGTTCCAAGAGTTGTTCACAGCTTCTGCTGTGCTCATTTGCTGTCATTTTTATTAAATTCATAACATTAATTACATAATCATTCATAATTAGTTATAATCCTACATAGTCTCCAAAATTATGTATTAGTAGTCTCCCTTTAATTCCCCTTCCTTTTAGTTTCAAGATTCCTTGGACAGGACAATGTTTCTACTTTCTTTGTTTTTCCCACAGCTCCTAACATAGCACCAAACAATAATTGCTTATTTGACTCATGTCAGTGGTGTCTTTGATGTATTCATTCACTGACCCAGCCTACATTGTTTTCATAAACTATGTGCTGCTAACTTAGGATTCAGAGATAAGAGATGGTCTTTTCATTTTTTTTTCAAAATCATGTAGGAAGAAACAGAAAAGAACTACAAGTAGAAGGCTGTGTGATATACAGTATGGTATAGATATGTACAGGATGGTGGGAAAGGACATAGAAGGGCCCCTTTCTGAGGGGAGACTATGGAAGTGCTTCCTAGAGAATTCTGAATATTCTAATCCCTTAGTAATTTTGTGAGTTTTATACCTTGTCAAATGTATTACAAAAATACATATAGAAATTTAAACAGGTATATAAGAAGATAGTTCAAAAAAGATGAGGAAAGAACATATAACATTATCATACGTAAGAACCTATTATAAAATCGAAGAAGTAGAAATAACAATTAAAGATTTTTGTTTCCCTGGTAACTGGCAGTGAAAAGAGGGAGAGGTGGTGTGATCTAATGAAAATGGCACGAGACTTGGACATGGAGAAATTAGTTACAAAAACAACTCTGGTGTTCACTTATACTCCCCGAGCTTCAGCACCCTATCATTTTAAATGATGATACTACAACTTTTATCTCATAGCATTGTTGCAGAGATTAAATTACATGAAAAGATATGGAAACACTTAACATGATGCTTAGGCACGTAACAAGGACTTGCCAAACTTACTTGGATTTGAGAGTATAGTATTGAGAGTGGGTAGCAGAATTGAGAAGTTTGTTGACACAGTTTTAGAACCAGGCGTTGGCAAACTTTGCCCAGTGGACCAAATCTGCCAGATCTTCTGATTTTTCAAGAGAAGCCAGAAATCCAAAATGTTACATAAAATCTGATTTTTTAAAGCATTAAATAATTAGAAAAAAATTTTTAGTGCTGTGTTAACCAGCGTAAGTCTGAAAACTAGTCATACTAATATGCTCTGTCTTATACTGATAGATGTTATAGATGTAGTAGATGATTGTGGGCAGCTCAGTGCTGGAGAGCCTAAAGATATTGAGAGAAGACTGATGAGTGTTTTGAAGGTTGTGCTACTATGGGTGTGAGAATCATGTTATTTGGGCTTCAGAAGAGATGTGATATATTTAGGTGACGGAATGATGGTCTGGAGCTGGCACCAGAAAGGAGTACGTTAACCTCCCTCACCCTGGCTAGTGAAAGAAGTAGTTTCCATTGGAGAAGACTGGGGAAATGGGGACATTTTAAGAAAGAAATGTTCAGTTAAAGTGGTAAAGTAGTTTATATAATAGAAGTTCTACAGGGCTCAGTGAAGGGAAGTTAGCAGAGGAGTGAGCACAAGGGTGAACCGTGATTGAGGAGGAGCCTGCCTGAGGAGGACAGTAAGGACCATCTGGGCGATGAACGCAGGAGTATGTTGGGTACATTACGTGGAAGCAGAGGGATTAGCAGTGAAAATCCCTTGGACTGGTAGGAATTGCTGGAATGATGTTCTGTTTTATACCTCCAAAGCTTGACTCGTGCTCTTCCCTCTGCCTGGAATGTTTTACCTCAGCCCCCCTCAGCCTTATCTGTCTCATTCATATTTAAGATTCTCAACTCAGATGTTTATATTTAGCTCCTGGAAACCATCCCTGGCACTCCTTCCTCACCTCTTCCCCAAGCTCCAAGCCCTCTTTTGTGTTCCCATAACACCCAGTACACATCCTTATTTCATCACTCACCATTTTGTATTAAAATTACTTCTTTTTAAGTTCCCCACCAAGATACTGATCTCTTAGGTCAGGTTTCCTGTTTTATCTCTTTGCGTCAGGCAGATGACAGCACAGAGCCTGGCACTAAGCCAGTATCAACAAATATTTGTTAACTGAGCAGAGGGGCTAGGCCAGCACCTATGTTTTGATTGTAAGATGGGTATGGCAGGTACATGAACTTTCTTCTTTCCTCAACTGCCACTGAAAGAAGAAAGTCCAGGTACCTGCCATACCCAATTCCGGCCTTTTGGCAAGTGATGAATGGCAAGGGAACACTTTCCGACATTTCCATTTGGGCAGCCAGGATTTTATGTGATGCTGTAACAGTGATCACTGCACAGTGTCTGCCCCACTGCATTCCTGTCGTTTGTGTTTGTAGAAAATCTTGATGATGAATAGATTTTATGTTACCTGGTTCATGAAAAAACTCTTAATCAAGACCCAAGTGTGTTTTATTGCGTCTGTGCCTTGGCAGTTTCTCTGTGCAAATTATTCCATTGACCTTCGCAGAGACACCCTAAAGCATCCAACTGCAATCTTTCCTTTTTGTTTTAGGCCATTCATCATCATTTGATTCTCTTTGGTTGCTTAAGCAGGTCCGTCTGCTTTCTCTGCCATTGTAACTGAACTTTCAATACCACTATTCTTTTCATCTGGAGTATATTCTTTCTTCTGTAAAGTTTTGCTTGAGGCTTTATTTTATTTTTTATTCTTCCATTAGGCTTTTCTCCATTAGGCTCTTCAGAGGAGAGCCTTTTAATAGAGAACTTGAACTCACAGGAATGAGATGATAAAGGAAACTGCAAATGACTACTTTTCATCTTAGTGTTCCTCGCTCTTCATGCTGCCTTATCCCTAGCATAGAACGAGGGCCTTATTTTTCTCAAATACGTGTAACTAACAATAAGGATACTTTCTTTTATTGGTCAGGCCATTAGGCATTATTGGGTATACTAGACTTATATACTATTGTGCTAATTGTCCACAGAAAAATGAATAAGACAGTCAGTCCATGCCTTCAAGGAATTCATAATCTAATTAGGATGAAAACAAACAGCAAGTTACAAACACCTCCTATAAGCCTCTGCCTTTTTTTTTTTTTAATCTTTACAGTAGGGTAATATAATTTTCGAGTTATATCTTCATAGGAACTTCTCTATGTGAAGAACTTAACACAGTTTCTAGCCTATAGTAAAGTGTTCAATAAATGGTGGTTATATTGATGGCTAGATACAGCATAAGTAGAATCATGAAGCAGGGAGTGGCCATGACATCTCTACATAAACACAAGTTTACACAGAGGAAGTAATGCTGAGGAAATTGCATATACAAAGGCATCAGGTAATGAGATACAAGGTACATTGAGAGAACCCTAAATAATTGGTGTATCTAGGAGCAAGGGATGAGGCTTCTGAGGTAGACAGAAATTTGAACTTGATCTTGTAAGGAATGGGAGCCATCAATTTCTAGTAAGCAAGGAGCCTTAGAATTAATCAATACCAAAGAAAATTTCTGATATATTACATGTTTCTTTCAGGTCTCACTTGCCCTGGAGCCTCTGTCAGAAACTTATGACAGCTATAACCCTCTTCCTACCACTGACATGACAGAAAAGGTGCTTTTATCTGAGCAGGGATTCAGAGAATATACTAAACCCAGCAATATCCAGTTTCTAGTTCCATCAAGGCCTCAGAGGATACCTACCACGCAAACTGATGGAAAAGAGTTAGCAGCCAATAGCAGTAGATCAACCACTCCGAGGTAATTACCACACCGAATACCAGTCAGTCTGTCAGCTAAGTCCCACTGTACTCATACTTTCTGTCTTTCATTTGTGATTGGGAAAAAGACTAAAGGTAGTCAGTCACTCATTCAGGAAATAAGTATTAAGTACCTACCCACTGTGTTCCTCGTCTAGTACCAAGTGCTGGGCATAGAAATTAATAAAATGCAATTCCTGTTTTTGAGGACTGCTTACAATCTAGTGGGGGAGGGGGTGGCAACATACAGGTACATAAGTGTGACTAAGTCACACTTATGATATGATAGATGTCCTTAAGGGAAGAGGGAAAAGGCAATATTTTGTGAAACAATGCAGTAAGAGAAATAGATTTTGATTTTAAATAATTATGAAGCATTTGCTTTGTATCAGGTTAGCACTGAGCTCTTTATTTTATTGTCTCACTTTAGCCATAACCACACAGTAGTAGGTAAAGCATCTACTGTTTATTTCATTTGGAAGATGAAAAACAGATTTATAAAGTCGAAGCTACTCTGTCTCTGACAAAGTGGAATGTTACCAAAATGGATAATAAACTGCTGATGTTCTTCTTTGTTTTAAAACAGGGGGAAAGACCACTTGTACTTTGCAGAGAACTCTGATACGATAAAGGACTCCTTTTTTGGACTACAGCACCATCTTAATTCAGGGCAGAGTTTAGAGTCTATGACTCTGAAAGGCAAAGCCCCACAGAGGCAGATGTCCCTTCTCAACAGCTCTGAGTTCCAGCCTCAAATCAGGTCAGCTGCCAAGAGTCGCAGTGATTCATGCATTCTTTCTTCAAACAATCCCCCTACCAAGGACCTGCTTTCGGGTATGTATATATTTGTGAACTGAGACTGAGCTATGTTTATTGGGGTTACTCTGCTCCTTAGCCAGCCTACAAAGAGAACCAACCAAGACTTCCCTTTGAACTAAATAGCTAAATAAAAAGAGTCATCTTACTAGAGTCCAAAACTTCTTACCATTTGAAGACAGCTCTATTAAACGACTAAGTTACTTCTAAATAGCAGGTGCTTATAATTGTATGTTTAGGGAAGGAACCATTTCAAATGAACCTGGATATGGGGGAAAGCCCTTATCACAGAAAAATATTAGTCCTTATTTTTTCCCAAATAATTCAAGGCAAGTAAGGTTTTTGTCTCATCATCAGCATTTACTTGTATGACTGTTCAGAAGGTAGCACCAATCCGTCTCACATTCTGAAAACTATTGGTCTCAGGGTGGAAACAATCAGTGCGCAGCAACTGCTGATCTTAAGCCTGGGAATTAAGTACGATTTGCAGCCAAACAGTAGAGAGGAGTCAGTTTACCGGCGTAAGGGCTTAGACTGAAACAAAAAAGCAAGTAGAAACTGGATCAGATTACCTAATGTTAGGGGATGTATTATAAAAGCAAATGAGGTACCTTATATTACATGTTATGGTCAACTATATATCTTGGTGACATCAAGGGCATGATAGGAATTTGTCTGCATTCTCACCAGTAAAATTTCCACAGTAGAATATCTGCAGCATTAATAGAAAAATCTTTTAAATAATTATTTGGGCACATAATTTACGTTAGTAAGGGTATTTTTTTAATGAAGAAAAACATTCTGTTTATGTTTTCTCAACTGAAATGTCTATGATCCCCTATTTTTAAAAACATACTCTGATTATAATCTATTAATTTTCATCTTCAGTGCAACCCTAGACTACATTAACAAGAAAGAAAATTGTCCCACTGTACTCAGCACTTGTCAGCTCACACCTGGAATATTATGTGTAGAAATGGGCATCAAACTTTGAGAAAGATATTTGCACACTCATTAAGCAGTTATTTATTCAGCACTTGTCAAATGCCTGACACTCTTCTAGGTGTCAGGGATACAGCAATTTAAATTAAAGAAAAAACAAAAACACCCTGCCAACTCCTGCTTTATGGATATTATATTCTAGATGGGAAGACCAACAATAAACTAGGTAAATAGGTATGGGGTGTTAGGTGATGATAATGGCATTGGAAAATGTGAAGCAAGGAAGGTGAGAAGAGGGGATGTTAGTTTTACATAGGTTGACAAAGGAATGCCTCATTAAGAAGATAACATTAAAGATCTAAAGAAGATGAGTTCCTTCTAAGAGTAATGAGGCTGGTGAAGGTCCCACCAAGAGATATTTAGCCTCAAGAAAACAGCTACCATGCATTGAGCATTCATTATGTGCTTGCAACTATGGCAAGTGCCTTATACACATAATCTTAAAAAAAAAAAAAAAAGTGAAGCAGGGATTATCCCCATTTTAGACTCCTTTTTTTTTTTTTTTTAGCTGAGCCATCCTGCCACCTGTTGGCAGCTCAGCTCGGGCCGGACTCGAACCGTTGTTGCTCAGAGCTCAAACCTTTGAGCGCGCTCTTAACCAACTGAGCCACTCAGCAAGCCCTGTCATCCCCATTTTAAAATGAAGACACAGGCTTAGAGTTAGGTAGGTGCTGCCCTGTCAAAGAGGGCAGCTGCTCCTCAGCTCCAGCTCGTTATTGTCTTAGACTCTAAGGCAGAGTCTTCTGCCTTATCATATTGTAAGTTCATTGTGTACCTAGGCCTGCTTCTTTTTTTTACTTTTTTTTTTAAAAATCAAAGCTGTGCTGGCCAGCTGTTCAAGCCAAACAAAATATGCCAGGTACAACCCGTGGTCTGCCAGTGTGCAACCCCTTCCATAAGAGTTACTAGGATCAATGGGTTTAAAGTTAAAGCAAGACAGGTTGTGACTCTGTTCATAGTCTGACCTGTACAAAATGAGAAAGGACAACTTCAAGAGGTAGTGAATTCTGTATCACTGGAAATAGTCAAGCACAGGTTGGATAACCTCCTGATGGAACTCTTACAGATTAGATTACCGTATTTCCCCATGTATAAGACACTCCCATGTATAAGACGCACCTTAATTTTGGGGCCTGAAATTTGAAAAAAAGTGTATTCCATAAAGTTATTGAACTCAAGTTTTATTCATCATAAAATTCATACAACTCCTCATCACTGTGAAAACTCCCAACCATTAACTTGTTCTCATCTGTGTCTGATGACAAATCACTGTCTTCATATATTGCCTCGTCCTCAGCAGGAAATGCTAGTAAAAAAAAATCTACAACCACTGTATAAAATGCACCCAGTTTTTAGACCCCAAATTTTTTTAAAAAGGGTTCATCTTATACATGGGGAAATACAGTAAATCGTCAAGTAGACTGATAGGATCATTGAAGGTCCCTTCCAACTACAAGGTTATGGAGGACTAAGATTAAGTGGGCGACTTTAGTAAGTAGGTCTAGAGCCAAGGTCATGGGAGGGATATAATTTTCTTCCTGGTCTTTGGGGGTTTTTTTGTTTGTTTTTTTTATTGGGGAATTGGGGGAGGGGAACAGCGTTGGGGAATCAGGGAAGAAGAACAGACAAGTTGCTGTCCTTTTGTTCTTCAGTCTAGTTGTGGAGAAGTCGCTTCACTGGCCCATGTTGGTATTATCATTGCGCTCTTCCCTGGGTGAGGCAGATCAGTCGCCGGCCACTGGACGGCTGCTAACGGCAGCTCAGGCCAGCTGCCGGCCAGCCCCGTTGCAGCCTACGCCATCGCTGGCAACATACAGCCCGGCTCCAGGTCAAGCTGTTGTTCACCGTCTTAGCTGCAAAGGGCGCAGTGTCACTGGCCCTCGTGTGGGATCCAAAGCGGGGTCCTGCTGCTCAGAGCTGGCGTCCCAAGCCAACTCTTTTTTTTTTTTTTAAAGATTTTATTGGGGAATTGAGGGAGGCGAACAGACAAGTTGCTGTCCTTTTGTTCTTCAGTCTAGTTGTGGAGGACGTTGCTTCACTGGCCCATGTTGATATCATTGCGCTCTGCCCGGGTGAGGCAGATTGGTCGCCCTCCACTGGATGGCCGCTCACGGCAGCTCTTGGCAGCTCACGTTGGCTGTCGGCCGCTCACGGTAGCTTTGCCGCAGCCCACTGCAGCCTCACGGCAGCCCAGCTCCAGGTCAAGCTGTTGTTCACCATCTTAGCTGTAGAGCGCACAGCATCACTGGCCCTAATGTGGGATCCGAACCGGGACTCTGCTGCTCAGAGCTGATGTCCCAAGCCAGCTCTTAACCAACGGGCCATTCGGCCAGCCCCCAAGCCAACTCTTAACCAACGCGCCACTCGGCCAGCCCCTTTTTGGTCTTTCTTAATGTACTGACATCATACCAGAAAAGGGGGTACAGAGCTGAATTAGTCAACCAGCTAGTATTTATGAAAAATGAGCTATATATCCTGCTTCTAAGACTTGGGGGTTTCCAATAGATAGCAAGGAGTTCTAACAAAGCCAGAATTTTGATACCTCCCTGTGTTTAGCAGGAGTTGTGCCCGTGACTTGTAGGAAGTAAACAAGGGAAACATTTGTCCCGAACTCACCTGAGTGCCCTTCCATTGTGTTCAGGAAATGATTATTGAATTTAGGAGCAGAAAGATGCCATGACAGCCCTTATAGTGCAGGTACCAGCTTTCTCTTGAGATGGGGGAATAAGATGTTTTTGTTGCCATGCCTTGGACTTTAGAGAAGCTTTTCCAAGAATGGCTGTTTCAGTAATGAAACCATTTGGAGGCCAATGAATGGGCCACCTGTGCTCAGATTTGTCCAACTTGTTCCCCTTAATACTTATTTCCTTTTTAAAACAGGGTTTTGGAAAGTATCTTTTCAGTGTCTAGTTTGTGTCAGTCATTGTTTTGAACATTGGGGTTAGAATGATAAATAAGATACAGACCCTGACCTTAAAGAATTCAGTCTAGTAAAGGAAACAGACTCTAAAGCAGACACAGTACAAGATGTGTGATGCATGCAACAGTGGAAGTATTTATTAAAACATTTTATTAAATGCCTGATATGCACTGTACCAGGCAACAAGGATACAAAGACCAACAAGAGTCAATCCTTAGTCTAGAAGTTGATGGGGTGAGATGCACAGTTATTACACTGCATGATAAATTCTTTGATGGAATTAAATACCTGGATCTTTGAGAGCACAAAGGAAGTAATGTGTTTAAGGAATTGAAGATAGTTGAGTACGGTTAGATCATAAAGTACCAAGGCTGTTTATCTCTCTAGAAACATTTTGGGTATCAGTAGAAAAACTATTTTTCTGCATGGCCCTGAAGTCAAGTAAAGTTTATTATTGACATTGCTTGTCATTAGCTACGTTATTCATAAAGCATTTATTGAGTGTACCCATCTTATTAAAGAACTTTAAACCATATCAAATAAAGCCAAGTGCTAACTAGAAACTAAAAGAAGGGTTTCCTGTCAGAAAGCAAGTTTCTTTAGCCAAATTTCCAATGCTAACAGACTGTATTTTCCTCACCCTTTCTCATTGAATAAACAAGAAAACCATTTTCTGGCTGAATCCCAAAGAGACTTTTTTAAATTAAAACATACTTACAATGCATTCTGAATGGAATATCATGCAGCCATTATTTACATAGAAAAAGTTAATGCATATAGTTAAGTGAAAAAGCAGTTACAAAACAATATACATAATATATACCATTTTTGCAAAAAAAAATTTATATATAAAATACAGATGTATGTAGGTATGCGTAGATTAAAAAAACTACAGGCATACTTCAGAGATATTGTGGGCTCCATTGTAGACCACAATAAAGCAGGTATCTCAAAAAGCATGTTACATGAATTGTTTGGTTTCCCAGGGCATATAAAAGTTGTATTTGCACTATTCTGTAGTCTATTAAGTGTGTAATAGCATTATGTAAAAAAAATAATGTACTACATGCCTTAATTAAAAAATACTTTATTGCCCAAAAAATGCTAACCATCATCTAAGCCTTCAGTGAGTTGTAATCTTTTTGCTGGCGTAGGGTCTTGCCTTGATGTTGCTGGCTGCTGACTGATCAGGGTGGTGGTTGCTGAAGGTTGGGGTGTCTGTGGCAGTTTCTTAAAATAACACAACAATGAAGTTTGCCCCATCGATTAACTCTTCCTTTCACTTGAACACTTAGAGGCCATTGTAGCGTTATTAATTGGCTGTCCTGATTTTAGGAAATGAGTAGGCTTGAGAAGAGAAGAGAGATGGGGAACAACCGGTCAGTGGAATAGTCAGAACACACACAGCATTTATTGATTAAGTTTACCATCTTATATGGGCGTGGTTCATGGTTCCCCTAAAATAATTACAATAGTAACATCAAAGACCACTGATCACAGATAACAAAAATAATAGTAATTAAAAAGTTTGAAATATTGCAAGAATTACCAAAATGTGACACAGAGACAAATGCTGTTGGAAAAACAGCTCCCCTTTTTGAGGTCTGCGACGAAGTAGGTGAAGCCACCCCAAGAGCCAGAGCTGTCGTATCCCTTCCTGTTCCATTTCCGGTTGCAGTCAACAAAGGCTGTTCAGACCATGAAAAAGGAAAAATGGCCCCAATAGACTTGCTCAACATAGGGTTGTCATAAACCTTCAATTTGTAAAAAATGCAGCATCTGTGAAACCCAATAAAGCAAAGTACAATAAAATGAGGTATGCCTATATAAGGAATATATTGAAATGTTAACAATCAGTATTCTTGGGTGTGGCATTATTAGGTATATTAGTTTCCTATTGCTGCATAACAAATTACCACAAACTTAATGGCTTAAAACAATACCCATTTAGTAACTCACAGTTCTGTGGATCAGAAGTCCAGCAAGGTATGGTTGGGTTTTCTGCTTAGGGTGTCACAGGCTAAAATCAAGGTGTCAGCCAAGCTAAATTCTCTTCTGGAAGCTCTAGGGGCAAATTCTTTCCCAAGGTCATTCATGTTGACAGAATTCTGTTCCTTGCAGTTGCCTGACTGAGGTCCCATTTCATTGCTGGCTGTCAGCCAGGAGCCATTCTCAGCTCCTAGGAGCTGAGAATTTTTGTCACGTGGCTCCCTCCATCTCCAAGATGACAGTTATACATTAAATCCTTTACATGCTTCAAATCACTGAATTCATATCCTGCAAACAGCCAGAGAAAACACTGTAAAAGGCCTGGGCCTGCCTGTACTCTCCCTATCTTAAGGTTGACTGATTTGGACCCATGATGTCATCTGCAAAATCCCTTCAAACAATGCCTAGATGAGTGAGTGAGTCTCTGGGAGAAAATATATGTATCCCAGAGGCTGGGGAATCTTTGGGGGTGAGTGGGAGCTATCTTAGGATTCTGTCTGCCACAATCATGATCTTTATTTTCTTTTGGTTTGGTTATATTTTCACATTACACATTGAACATGTGATATTTCAGGGTATTTTGTTGTTGTTGTTGTTAACCTATAATTTGTGCTCTTTATACTAACAAATATTAGATGTTTGTGGATCTGTTTAGCTAGTTTTTTTCTTCTTGGCCTGACCATCATATCTTCTTTATTTATAGAAGCTATAAAACTCTAGACTAAGAGAGATGGTCACTTGGTGTCTAGTCTCACTTACCTTCTAAGCAACTGTGGAACCTCAAGAAAATAATACTTCCCAGTGTTTCTTGGAATAATGCCACTGGTCCTAAGCCTTTAAAAAGAAGTCTAAGAACTGAAGTAGTGTCATATATAGTATAGTGGTTAAAATCTTAGGATGTAGGGTCATCCTGGTTATACAGCTACTGCATATAAATTGCCTCAATTGTTTTCGCCTAGAAAATGAAGAGAATAGTAGTACCTATCTCAGAGGATTGTTGGGAGGATTATATTTATACAGCATACTTAGAATAGTGCCCAGCACATGGTAAGGGTTCAGTAAGTGTTATCTGCTATACTTGTTGTTACTTAGGGATGGGATCAATTTTACCTATCAGAAAGTCTGAAGACTTTATCCTGACTTTTCTATTACCCTGCTATATGATCTTAGACAAGTCATAGAAATTGTGTGGCATTCTGTTCTTCATCCATAAAACTATAAATTTGGAAGAGATTATCACTATGGCTCCTAAAAGTTTAACTGGTATAGTTGTTCATGTTTCTTGGCTACTAGTGATATTAAAACTTACAAATAATAAGAGAAATCAATAAAATATGTGGATACAAAAATAATATATACACGTTACTATCTGTATTATGTACAAACAACAGTTGGCAGAGTCAATGCATGTGTATAATGACTTCTATAAAGAGGTCAGTTTCTTTGGAATAGCCTTTATCCACTGCTGTAATATTATACTAGCATCTAAAACAGTCCACATAACAGAAGCTCTAAATATTTGCTATAAAATGAATGACCTCAAGGAATTCCCAAGCTAGTGGGCAAGGCAGATAAATGAGCCATTACAGTACACTGTGGTGAGTCCTATGATAGAAGCAAAGGTGCTAAATATTGCAAGTATTTCTGTTGGATTTTAGATTTTCTGTGTTCTACTTTTGCCCTTCTCAGCTCTGTTGGAACAAGGCAATAAACTACGTAATGCCATGGTGGTTTCTGCAATGAAATCAAGCCCAGATACTAGCATGTTGTTGGGTGAAGTTCATTCTCCTGTGAAGAAAGACTTTCTTAGACCATCAACACAGTAAGTTACGGGATACATATGAACCCCAACAGTTTATTTCTTAATAGTGGCTACATGTGTTTTTGTCAAGTTATGGACTAAGTAATTTTGAAAGTGTTCAGCACACAATTCTTGATGTGGTAGAAAAGAAGCCTAAACTAGGAGTTAAGATACTCAAATTCTAGAACTACTACTGGCACTTAACTAAATACATAAATAGCTAAATTCTTTGTTCCCTCTGAACTGGCATGTATATGACTTGTACATAAAATGGAGATATTCTCACTTACAGAAATGAGATTCTAACGTAGGAAAGGGCTTTGTAAATTGTGAAGTTTTATGTTATTTAAGGTAGTTACGTCGAAAGTATGTTCAGTTTTCCCTGTGAACCATCTCTTAGCTCAGCTAATTTTGATTTAGATTTTTTCCATATGTTAGCCACTCAGAAAGTATTTTTTTTCCACACCTTAGAATCAAAGCCTTATCTAAGAATCAATTTAAAGACCACATTGAAGATCACCTCCTCCCTCTGAATGAGACTATACTGTGGAAACAGGACACAAAAGCTGATACCAGAGCCATACAGCTGCTATTGGGCAGGTAAGAGCCCTCAACTAGCTTTCTTTCTTTTAAATTCTTCCTCCAGCTCATTGTGTACATAGTTAACAGATTTATCTTCGTGAAGTAATACTTCCTTGGAAAAACCAAGTCATCCCCTTGCTTACTTATTGCCTATTAAATAGAAATCATTATTCGTTACCCACTATATAAAAATCTCATCTTTAGCCTTTTATTCTTAGCCCTCACTTACAGAATGGTATCCAATCCTTTCCATTCACATCTTCCAACTCTATCTCCAACACCAGTGTTAGTAGGGTATAGTGTAAAGAGCATGGATTTTTATACAAACACAAGCTGGAATTCAGGAGTCTGTCTCCTATTACCTATGGGGTTTGCACAATTAGGCAGGGAGGGAGGGGAGTAAAAGGGTTCCAAATTGGAAAGGAAGAAGTAAAACTGTCTGTATTCACAGATTATATAATATAGCATATAGGAAATCCTAAATAATCTAAAAACAATTAGAATTAATAAACAAATTCAGGAAGATTGCAGGATACAAGATCAATATACAAAAATCAGTTGTATTTTTACATACTTGCAATGAGTAATCCAAAAATGAAATTAAGAAACAATTGATTTACAGTAACATTGATAAGAATAAAATACTTAGGAATAAATTTAACAAAAATGCAAAGCATTAACTCTGAAAACTGCAAAACACTGTTGAAGGAAGTTGAAGAAGACCTAAAAATTAGAGAAAAAAATCCCATGTCTGTGATTCATTGCAATCCGTATCAGAATCACAGCTGACTTCTCTATGGAGTTCTAAAATTCCTATGAAATTGCAAGGGACCCAGGCTAGCCAAAACAATTTTGAAAAAGAAAAAAATAGGAGGATTCACACTTCCTGGTTTTTAAACTTAAAAAACAACAATAATCAAGTCAGTTTGGTACTGGCATAAGAGCAGACATTTAAATCATTGGAAATAGTCTAAAAATGAGCCCATGTGTCTATGGCCAACTGATACTCAACAAGGGTATTAAGACCATTCAATAAATAAGTCTTTTCAACAAATGATGCTGGGACAACTGGCTAGCCATGCATGAAAAAATGAAGTTGGACCCTTCAAACTGTGTATAAAAATTAACTCAAAATGGATCCAATAGCTAAACAAAAGAACTAAAACTGTAAAACTCTTAGAAGAAAACATAGAGGTAAATTTTTATGACCTTAGAGCTGGGAAAGGATTTTTAGTTATGACACCAATAGCACAAGCAACAAAAAGAAATAATCTAGACTTAATCAAAAATAAAAATGTGTGTGCTTCAAAGGAAGTATTAAGAAAGTGAAGGGGAAAAAAAAGTGAAGAGATGATGACAGAATGGGAAAAAATATTTATAAATCTTGTATCTGATAAAGGACTTATATCTTAGAATATATAAAGAACCCACACAACTTAATAATTAAGGGACAGATAACCCAATTAAAAATATGAGCAAAGGGCCGGATGAGTGGCGCGTTGGTTAGGAGTTGGCTTGGGACTCCAGCTCTGAGCAGCAGGGCCCCCGTTCGGATCCCACATGAGGGCCAGTGACACTGTGCCCTCTACAGGTAAGATGGTGAACAACAGCTTGACCTGGAGCTGGGCTGCAGTGTGGCTGGCCAGCAGTGGGCGTGAGCTGCCATGAGCCGTCGTGAGCAGCCGTCCAATGGCTG